CATAGCCTTCATAGATTACGAGAAGGTGTTTGACTCAGTCGAAACATCAGCAGTTATGCAGGCATTACGAGATCGGGGCATCAACGAACCCTACATAAACATTGGAATAAATGTACAGCGAATCCACAGCTACCAAAATCCTCTATAAAGAAAGCGACTGAATCTCAATAAAGAAGGGTGAAGGCAGGGAGACCCGATTTCATCAATGCTATTCACCGTGTGTTTACAGGAGGTTTTTCAGGGCCCTCGATCGGGAAGTGTTGGGGATAAGAGTTAAAGGAGAGTATCTTAGTAACCTGCGATTCTCAGATGAAATTGCTGGGACGAATCACAGCTCATGTTTACAGAACTGGACATGCAAAGCAGAAGAGTAGTTCTGAAAATTGATATGCATGTAATGCACAACAGTCTCGCCAGAAAACAGCGCTTTGTGAAAAGTAAAAAGTCGTTGGATGTGGTAAAGGAATATGTCTATTTAGGACAGGTAGTAACCACAGAGACGAAACATAAGAGTGAAGTAACTAGAAGAATCAGGATGGCGTGGATCACATTCAGCAAGCATACTCAAATCGTGAATGGTAATCTACCACTATCCCTCAAGGGGAAGGTATGTAAGAGCTGCATCTTGCCAGTACTTGCCTACGGTGCTGAAACCTGGAGGCTTACAAAGAGGGTTCAGCTTAAATTGAGGACGACACAGCGAACGATGGAAAAGAAAAATGGTAGGTGTAACCTTAAGAGACAAGAAGAGAGCAGAGTGGATTAGGGAACAATTGGGGGTTAAGGATATTATAGTTGAAATCAAGAAGAAGAAATGGACATGGGCGGGACACGTAGTGCGTAGGCAAGATAATCGCTGGTCATTAAGGGTAACTGACTGGATTCCCAGAGAAGGCAAATGCATGAAGGGGGGACAGAAAGTTGGGTGGGCCGATGAGATTAAAAAGTTTGCAGGTGTAAAGTGGAAGCAGAAAGCACAGAACCGGGCTGATTTGTGGATCATGGGAGAGGCCTTTGTCCTGTAGTGGGCGCAGTCAGATGATAATGATGATTTGGTATGCTAAAAGTTCCTACGAATAAGCATCAAATGTTCTGTTAACACATCGTGTTAAGAGCTTTGTTTCTGTAACAAATCTCAAAAATACTGAACAAAATTTTTTCTATTGTCATGCCTTGTGATGAATCAGGATAGCACACGACATGGTGCAGTACAATGACTTATATAATCCAGATCTTAATAAATACTGTTTATTGTTATGTATATTTATCATATATTTTCATGTTACTGTATTACAGCTATAATGATGTTAGTTCATCAAACCATAATTTAATTCTAATTTTATATAGCTTTTATACAGTAGTGTGAACAGTAGTTTTAAGATGGGAACATGTCTTAGAGGTGTGCCCTACAGGTATTGATTTGAAGCTTAAGGACCCAGTTTGATCAGTTTGGTGTGAGTATGCAGTCTTTCAAAGCAGCTTACTGAATCAGCCGTTGCAATTGGAGATGCTTGGAATGTGGCTTTATAATGAATTATAAGGTCAACAACAGTGCTGGTTAATGCTGGAAACTTTTTGAGGTATAAGTAAGATTTGCTGTTGTCACACGCTTCGGGTGAGGCCCCACCGATCCAACACCGACGTGCGGCAGACTCGCAGGCTTCCACTTTACGCTTCGGCCTGCGACGCCTGAAAGGCCTCGAAGTGGCACATTTCAAATTTATTTGCACGTTGGTCGACCCATGCGGGGTTGCTTGTGTGGTGATGTGTGGGCCTGACCGACGCACTCATAAAGCAGACACGGAGTTTGATTACACATAAACAAACATTTAATTGAAACAATGGCAAAGGCAGGAGTTAACAAAATAACAGAGAGGAATAACACTGATGCGCGATGAAAAGAACAGCTATATGTAACAAACTATGCTCTAAAAGAACACTACAAGAGGTACAACCAAAAGACAAACACGTGGAATATTAATAAAATAACAAGATGGAAATCATAAAAGAGGGTTACAAAGAAATAATTACAGAATGATCATTGGTCGTGCTTTTGAATTTCTATGTGCGTCACAGCGCACACAACTACACAGATTTAAAAAAAAAAGGCTGGTTAAAACAATTTAACAGTTAAAAAAAAGTCACAATAAAAAGTTCCATACGGACCAGGCCAGCTCTTGATGCACGTAGGGGAGTTGACGGGTGCTGCTGAAGGTCTCGCCGGCTTGGTAGACGACCAGGGTGCCCGGAATCGCAGCCGTCTCAATACGTTGCGCGGGTCACTCCATGCTCGCCGCCTACGCGAGACTCGCGACACCGACGACCGCACTTGTTGCTGGCTGTACGTCAACTGCCTATTCCGATGCAGTTCAAGCCTCTTCAGGGGTGTACACGTGCTCCCGTCCCATCTGGGGGTAATTTTTCTTTTTTAGACCGCCGGTGCCCCTTTCGGTACAGGTGCCGGGAAGACGAGCCGGCGCCACGCTGGGTCGTTAGTCGCCGGATGTCGTCCTCCCAACACAAAAGCGGCCTTCCTTGGAAGATGGGGCCCGCGGATGATCCGAAAATTGGAGTCGTTTGTGACAGCTGTCAACAAATAAAGTGTGGCTTCATTCATTCAAGTGTCACGTAAAGCTCACTTTGTTCTTGCTCTCGGAGACCAAGACCTTTTTATATTGCGAGTTAAATTGATGTTGCTTATTGAAACTCAGCACAACTATATACTATAGTACCTTGAGTGCACTGTGGTTCTCCACTTGTCATAAGATATGTCTCTTGTCAAGCTACTTCTGCTGTATACAGGGCCTTGATGGTGGCTGACTGAAAGTACCATTCATTATGGCACTTTTATGCACCAAGGACTCTGATCTTTTTTACTGTGAGTTGCATGAACATGAGGGTTCACATTAAATTGAAGACACGCAGCGAGTAATGGAAAGGAAAAAGGTAGGTGTAACCTAAAGACACAGAAAGAGAGCAGAGTGGATTAGGGAACAAAGGGGGGTTAAGGATATCATAGCTGAAATCAAGAAGAAGGAATGGACATGGGCCGGACATGTAGCGTGTAGACAGGATAACCGCTGGTCATTAAGGGTAACTAACTGGATTCCCAGAGAAGGCAAGCGGGTTAAGGGGAGACAGAAGGTTAGGTGGGCAGATTAGATTAAGAAGTTTGCGGGTATAAATTGGCAGCAGCAAGCACAGGACCGGGTTAACTGGCGGAACATGGGAGAGGCCTTTGTACTGCAGTGGACGTAGTCAGGCTGATGATAATGATGATGATGCATGAACATATAGATTTGAAGCAGCCCACCTATGAGTGTGCAGCATCTGATGACAGGCACAGGCATTGAAGGCACCTAGAAGTGTTGCTTTGAGCCAGTTGGTGATTCACAATTACCAAAGGTAACGACATGCCACACAGGACACAGAAAGAGACAAAATATGTATTTCTTTATCAATCTCCATTGTACAGCGTTTATTAAGTTGTCTATAGTGAACCATGTGTCTCTAGCTCATTAAAATAGGATGTAGTTTTCCCGCTTTGTTTAGGCAGTACTGTTCATATGACCCACACTGATCGACTATTCATTTGAAGAAGACTGTATGCCATTAAGCATACTGAGAAAAGAAGACTCGAATTTATCTACAATTTACCAGTGAATTGTTACCATTGTGCCATTTGTTACACAGGTCAGTTCTTGTTACTGTCTGCACACTGTCTTACAAGAGAGATAGTTATTGCACCTGGCCTGGTTCAGTTGGCCACTATTCTGCAGTTATCTCCATTATGAACATAACACCTGTGAAAATTCTCTTTCCTGAAGGCACTATAGCTTGGTTTTCTCATTCAGAGCCTTTCTGTTCTCCTTGAACCTGATTCCATTGAAGCACATGCTAATAAACCATTTGACTTTTCCTCAGCTTTGGCAGTCACCAATAGCTTAACCCAGACACTTTTGCAGATGCAATAGTTGGTTGCTTTGCTGAAAAAGCATAAAATTATCTTGTCACCCATTATTCAACCGTGTGACCGATGAAATCTCATTACACAGACCTAGATTGAGGCAGATTATTATATGCTGCCAGCTAAGTTTCACATACGTTTCCAGCTGATTGGAAAATCATAGAATGAAATGTCCCTTGCTTGCTGCAGCTAAATGATTATCCGCCTTCCCACTAGCCTTTCATCGATCTGTGTTGTTTTGAAAGAAGTACATGGGTCCATGCACTTCTCCATCAATTACAGAGTTCTCAGGAAGATTACATGAGTGGCCAACCTTATATATTTAATTCTCGTTATTTTTTTTCATTTCTTTCTTCCCCATTCTCTGTTTTTTCGAGCTCTCTTTATTTTTTCTTCTCTTTTTCTATTTTTTGCTTCCTCCTTTGTTTCTGTTTCATAATTGCTCGCAACTTTTTTTTAATATCATTTGTGTGTGTGTGTGTTTCTCCCTTTGCTCTTTCCAATTTTCATTTATCTTCCTTTCTCTTTGTACTCGTTCTCTAGCGCTCACATATAGAGGAAGCGCCCATTCGACTGATTGCATGCCACGCCGAACAAATTAATTAGCACTGCGGGAGAGATGGTGCGTACGGGGCGCACGCAGTTCATAATGATTTACAAGTAATATGGGATCCCTTCTATATATAATTATTCGTTTCTTGGCTAATCCCCCAGAGTGGGTGTGAGCCATACATTTAGGTCATCACCATCTTCAGGGGGGTTCCAAGCAGCTCCGCCGTTAAAAACGGCGCCACGGCGCTCCTGAGCGCTAGCGGGTCGCGGCCTGCGTGGAGCCACGTTGGGAGCCTTGGTCCGAAGGCACTGCCAAGTCATCGTGAGAACCGCGCCGTCTGAAACCTCCTATGAAGTTGATTCCTCCTTTTAGCGCCGGAGTGCTGAAAGCGGTACAATCCCCGCACATTCAACACTTCCTCCATAAATTGTCACAAGATGATGATTCATTCATTTCACTGAGTAATTATTCTTTTTATTTTGCGAGGTTTAATACAACGAACCATGCGCCTAGGGCACGGTGTTACATGTATACTGCTGATAACCACACGGCACATCGCATCACCTTTGCCAACCTGCCTCGGTTGCCTTTGCTCGCAGTCGCATTGGCTCACGGTCGCATTGGACCGCCTAGCTGTAGGCTAGCGCTCTTGGGGCTCTATTTTTGACTCCGATTAGACTACAGTCCCTACTCGTGCTTGTGAGCGGCTTTGCAAACAGAACCGTTGGGCTAGTACTTGTTAGTTTTGCGGCATCAGAACTTTGTAGCTCTGGCTACCGTGCTCCCATAAGCTGTGCTTGCGGAAGTGACGGGCCTGAAAACAGCGAGAACATCGACATGTCTCTAACTGGCCGCTTGGCAGCAGTCACCGGAGGTGCAAGTGGCATTGGAAAAGCCGTCGCCTTCGCGCTAGCAAAAGAAGGCGCTGTCGTGATTGTCGGCGATATTAATTTTTGCGGAGCACAGGAAACCGCTGCTGCGCTCCCAGGTGGGTTGAAATTTCAAGAATTGTTGTCGTGCTGCTTTGCCGACACTACGTACGTAGACATTTGACTCGATGAGTCTCGATTTTTTTTCTTTCGAGCTCGCAATGTCAGAATAAGTCTAGAAAGCAAAAGTTATTGTATGGGAGGCAAAACTTTCCTGTAACCTCTACTACCTGTAAGTTCGATACCACGAATCTTTCTTTCTTTCTTTTTTTTTTTTTTAGAAAAAGGTGGTTTTATTCGCTCTGCTAGTCAGCACGAAGTCGCAGTTTTGAGGTCGTGGAGTATGATAATGATGTGCGGCGTCGGCGTTAATTGTCTAACAGATTGAGTTCAAACAAAAATCCGAAGGAGCCAGTAAAATTGATTTCGTTTATTTCCACCCCATATCTGTGGACACCGTTAAAAAACGCCACATAAGCAATCGATTAGTATGTAAATGACTAGTGATACTATGGGAAATTGTCAGCTACTACAGAAATTCGTTTCACAGTGTGTGATGAAAACACATTTCTCAAAAGTGTTAATTGTTCCAGACTTTTCTGTAGATTCAACCTTGCACTCCTCAACTACAATAAAAAAATCATTATTAACATTGCAACAAAGTTCTGCATGCATCCATACATTGACGTCGCGCAGTTTTTGACTATTAATGACATTTTGATATCAGAAACATTAGTGGATATGTGTTGTTACTTAATCATAAAAAGCAGTGCACAAACATGAAGCATGAGCAGAATTTGATTATACTTTAATTGCCACCTATTGATAAAGCCAGGCCATAGGGGCTGTAGCTTCAGCACCTTTTTAAGTTATATTAGATCTAACGAACTTGCTATTAGGCTCTTGTTTCTTCATAAATCTCCTGCAGAAAAAAAAAATGTTTGGATACATTATGTATAAGTGGTGCTGTCTACAAGGATAAAATGCCTTCTCTCTTCTTTAAGTGCCACAAGTCAACTGTGCAGGAGAAGGCATGGGGGCAATGCACCACACAGAAGTCGCGTTGCCACACATCATAGCACTATGAGCATTCATTTTACTGTGAAGCTGTCTAGTCTATCCTGTGCTGTCATCCTTGTGGAAGTAGTAGTAGTAGTAGTAGTAGTAGTAGTAGTAGTAGTAGTAGTAGTAGTAGTAGTAGTAGTAGTAGTAGTAGTCATGCAAGTCACTTGTGACCAGAGGTGAGAGCAAATAGAGATGATGCCCAAAAAGGTAATGATGGTGATGTGACGTATATGATATGATGACAATGCTCATGATCTCTCTAGCCTATCACATACACTCATGCACTAAATAAATCTTCACTGTCCAATAGTTTTCATGGCGAGGAACTGGCTGAATTTCATTTTTCTCTTGGAATGTGTTGGTTTAGACCTGGATAGTGCTGGTACGTGGAAGGCACCCATATTGCCTTCTTGACACCAGAGCAGTGTTTCAGAATGGGCGCCTTCATTCCAGTCCAGTTCCATTCTGGGGAGTTAGAACTTGCCGCAATTCCATTCCTTTCAATTTCTCGGAATGAAGAAACTTAGCCCATTCCCACTCCGGGAATGGTCGGGCAATTCAATTTCATTCCTCTAATTCCTCAACTTAGGAAAGGCATTTTGATAGTTCTTTTAAGTTAAGAATGATAGCACCATAAAATTGATGTCCTCAGTTGTATTAAAGGGACACTAAAGAGCAAAACGGTTTTTCACGCATTAGTAAACCGCAAGTTCCTAATCCCAAAAACACCACCCTTACCGCGATACAACGCTTGGTAAGTGAGAAAGTGTGCGAAAAGAATGTGGGTGGAGATGCCACCTTGAGATTCCCGCACCAAACATTGTGCCATCATAAATTTCGAAGGCATCTACTGCTGGCTCAAATGTAGCTTCTAATCTATAAAATTAATGTACGCTGTCATTTGTGGGTGCCATAGACCTAGCATACAAAGTTTTAGGAAACTTGGGACTAGGTGCGCGTTCTCCTCACCCCCAAAAATAATGAAAAATACATTTTGTAATTTCTTACGTCACATGGGGAAATTTCAGCACGAAATTTAAGAAACTTGAACCTTGATTTTATCCGCTAATAATGAACTTATGGCAGTGAAACTTATGGCATTAGAGTTCTCAGAGTACAGTTTGTCAATCTAAACCAAGTCATCCTTCCTCTTTACTGATCTATTAGAGCTGCAATTGTATACAAAATACATTACCAAGGAGCCCGGTGACTCGTGCACTCAGGCAAAGGTGCCATGTGTATAGGCAGGGGGGACAGTCTTGCAAAAGGTTGGGAGGGGAGTGTGGGGTGAGATGGTGCCCAGGCTTGTGTACAAAAGCTTGCTCTGAACACAAGCAGTACGCATTACAACATAGAGAAGTGCTTTTTCAAATATGCGTTCATGTCGCCGACGGCCACAGAAGCAACAAACAAACTAGTGAAAGCTGGGACACAGCAGGTGGCTGGGGTGCTGCCGGGGGAAAAAGGTTACTGCATCGACGAAGTGAGGGCTGATGATGGAGCAAAGCTCCATTGATGAAATGATAAACGATATAAAGAGTATTCACTTTTAAACTATATGTGCGCTATGTACGCTTTGTAGACACTGTTGTGCTCAAATGTTTCGCACCTGTGCGAAACATCGTCCCGATAATATGACTATAGGGACGATGACGAGCCTACGCGACAATGGTCGGATATCGTGAAGGCTTAAGAAGCTTCGCTCCTAAAAAAAAAAATACATGGCGTAATGGAGGTAAGCTGTCACCGTAGTTCTGCATGACAGATACCAATGGCACAGAGCCACGAATATGCGAATGATAGGGAGAAACTTTAGAGCAAGACAGTGTATATAAAGACAGAATTGTAGCAGGTGCATTGCTTATAAGTGTACCATGCTTGTAATCAGCCAAGCCCTTTAAAAAATGCCGCCTTACTGTTAAGTTAGAGGCTCTTGCTTACTACTGTTTGAAATTTGAAAAACAGCGCGTCGACAAAAGCGTGCTGTATTTCCGGAAAAAAGATGCAACCCCATTCTATTCCTCGCTAAAGGTGCTTAATTCCATTCACATTGCATTCCCCCAAGCATTGCCTCCAGTCCATTCCAGGGTCGCAAAACTGTGGAATGATTCGAAAATCATTCCAATTCTGGAGTGGCAACTCTGCAACATGGCATTAGAGACTGCATATCACGGCAATATTTTGAATCTCTGGCTTTTTGGGCTTTAACTAAATCTACGTTGTTAGAGCTCTTATTAATGTAGCCTAGTATGCCATATTAGACACTTTCTTTGCCCTGTAAATGTGCTCATGACATAATAAATTCTTCAGAGAAAAATGCAAAATAGGCAAATAAATCCTGCTTAAAAAATCTATAGCTGCATTCCTGTTAAACTTCTGCCTTGAGCTGAAGTTAAATGCCGATAGGCTCACACCTGCACTTATACATGAAACATTTCAGGTGTAGGCCACCCTCACCAGGCGTTCAGGGTGGATGTTCGAAGTGGGGAAAGCATTGAGACATTCTTCGCAGCTATCATGAAAATGTTCAAGGTGCCACTGAGTATTGCAGTTAGTTGTGCTGGCATCCTGAAACCAGCCCCTCTAGTAGACATGTCTGAAGAATTCTTCGATGAAATTATGGACATCAATTTTAAGGTGAGCATTTTTGAAGCATCCTTTAACACCTTCCCTGTGTGCATGGTAGATTGTGATGACGAGCATTGTGTTATTTGATACACATTGTAAACCATGCTTGGACTAACTATGAAAAACATGGAGAATGTAATAAATGACACAAGGAAACATACGTTTTCAAACAGAGTATTCCCCAGAGTGTCCTGCAGAACTTTTTTTATTTAGTATAGTGAAGGGCAACAACACAAATAGTGATGGGCACAAAGAGAGGCACCCACAGCAGACAAACACAGCGCTGTCATTTCAAAATAAACGAATGAACAGTAGTTGTGAAAATGAAATGGAGGCAGTTATTTCATATTTTCATGAAATTTCGCACAAGGTTGGACAGAATAAGAATGTAGATGTTTTTCTTCTGTGCCTAGGAAGCTTGTATCACTGTGCATACAAATTAGTGCTGTCTTTCATAGAAAAGCAGGATTCAAAACCAAGCAGAGACAGTGCTTCGCACAGTGAGCTGATTGTGTTGTGTACCAAATTCCTGTCTCTTGTAGCAAAGTTTATGTTAGCCAAGCTGGCTGATACATTAGTAATCAACTCATATAATAGTAAATGACTGCTACAATGTGAACAGCATAATACAAAGTCATCTGTGTGTGCACGGCTGCGACCATAGGCTGGTGAACTGACTCATGAGTCGGCTCACCCAGACTCAGTTCGGGCCGAGAGTTTGAGTCTGAGTGAGTCCGGTTGAGTAATATTTTGGTGAGTTGGAGTGCGAGTGAGTACGCTTGAAGAAAATTTGTGTGAGTGTGAGTCCAGGTGAGTTCGACTCGAGGAAAAGTTTGGTGGAACAGTCGACTCCCGTCAATTCAAACTCAAAGGGAGCCCTGAATTTTGTTTGAATTATCAAGAAGTTTTAATTATCAGAAGTTCTCAGATATATGACTGTGCATGAGGTGACACCACATATGATTAGGCATTGGTTTTATCAAATTTAAATATTTTTAAGCGTTTTTAAGCCCTAACGGCATGCAATGAACACAAAGCAGACGTGTAAGGTCCACAAGTTTATTGGCCATTCACTCCTAATCAGACCATTTAAAGAAATCGTGAATTGCAAACTGCTTCTTGGATATATCTGCCTTCGGCACAAAGCTCTCGATACCAGTTGAGAAGCATTATGGCTTACCATGCGTGTGCTTTGTTTCAAACATTTGTTCATTTGTAAAGCATTTTTTCTTGAAGGCCTGAAGTGCTTATTTTTCATTTTTACACTCTTAGGATTATATAAGCATGCAATTTTTAAATTGCAGTAGGCAAGCAGCAGATATTTTCCTGTATGGAACCGCAAAAAGTATGAATCAACCGGATGGTGGAGTTTGAATTAAGAGGCTTTAAGATACATTGAATGAGCAGAGGGCTAACCAAAAAATTTAATTTTGTTTGTATTGATTGATAGTATGAATTGTCAGAGTTTGAATTATTGCCAGTCTACTGTAAGTCCGAGTGAGTTAAAAGCGCAAGATAATTTTTTTGAGCGATTGTGAGTGAGCTCCACAACTTTTGCCGAGCTGTGGCTGTGTGTCAAATCATTTTTGATTGTTTCAAGATTTTATTCCACAGTAAACCAACTTCTTGAGATAAATCATTGAGGTGGCTGCCACATCATATACAGGTCAGAGTTATGTAAGGTACCCATTCTTGTGGGAAAAAGTAGCCTTATGTGAGAAAGAGCTGACCTTTATAGATGAAAATACTGGCAATAGTCTCATCAGAAGAATCTGTGTGCAGGTGTCATCTTGTTTTCTTGTCAAGTTCTCAGTATAAATTGTTGTGCACATGCAAAATTGGCGTGTTGTTAAAAGTGAGAGCTGTCTTTTTCTTCTATGAATACCTCTCTTTATTCATGTTGATGTCTGCGTACTCTACTATATAACCTGTCTTTGTCCCTATCTTTACTATGTATTCCACTGTATGACTTATTTATGAATATTTGTGAGGCATTCTTCTTTCTTTTTTTCTCTTTTTACTGACATTCTTTGCCATGCATGCATGGTGGAAAGAGACTAGAAGGAAGTATCGTAAGTGACAGTTTTGAAGCTTTGTAATACAAAAAAAATGTAAAGAAAGGCTTATGGAACTCTACATACACTGTGCAGTAGGCAAACAATAATTTCTAGGTACCTCAGACGTCGGAGAAAGTATAGATAAGAGCTGTGGAGAAAGCGGGTAGTAGGGGGTTGATTGTTAGGTGGACCGACAACTGCTCAGAATATTAAATGAAATGACATCACTGATGAAAAGATTGTCCTTCACGTTGGCTCAAACCTACCCGGTTTTTTCTTTAGAGGTGGATTCATATTTGTATTTCCTATTGAAAGTCGTGAAAAATGGCCTGTCGTGCCTCTGGTGGCAAAAGCATAAACGTTCCAATGTACCAGGCCACGTGTCCATCGATTGCTGTACACAGTCGACAATCTCTTTATTTCTATTAAAATATTGTTCATTTTTTTATATTAAAATATATTGTACCATAAAAATGCACATATAGGCCTGTATTAGTAGTATGCATTGAACTGGCACCGCCTTCACGTGAAGTAATGATTCCATGCTCGTCAGCGTGTCTTGAGCAATTTTTCAGCTTGCTTACACAACCGTGCACGCAGTTTCCAGGCCGCTGAGGTTTTGAAGCGACATAGTTTTTCTACCTACACTTTGTCTTAGAAATGACGTGCACTGCTACCCGGCGCAGCCGTGCATATGCGTAGTGGTAAAGTGGCTTGAAAGGTTTTTCTAGTGTTGGGGAACGCTTGCTTTTTCCAACGGCGGTTGAGAAACTAGATTCTATGCACCGTGCGGTGGCACTGTCGGTTGCTGGTGCGATGGCAAGTCGAGGTTGACAGCGGGGGAGGGGAAGGGGGCAGCTGGCGCGGCAGCGCAATGTGTCATTGGATCAAAAATGCTACCCAATACATTCACTTTAGCTCTACATTGGAATGCTCAGTGTTATCTTCGAAACCGATCAACGAGGTAGACAGTGAAAATTCTATTTTTGCCGACCATAGGAAAAGGCTTCTACGAATCTGCATAGGCAGGCCCTAGCAGACTGACGTATTTTTTGCTGTGCACATAATTTTAGCTGCCTTGACATGGCACTTTAATCACAATGCAGTTTTTAATGTGCAGCATCTTTTGAATTACTCAAATTGCAAACAAACATGCTTTGAGTGTTTTTATTTATCATTTCGCCGCCTACATACATCTGAATGCTGTAGCTGTCTTCTCCTTGACCTGGTATAAATGAAAATTATTAAACGAGTACCTGATTGTATGACGAACTCACAGAACTCAAATGGCAGGTCACGAAATGTATAACATGATATTCTTGTCGCGTACGTGGGGAAATTCTTTTCCTCAGTCACGTGTGGCACATACCCACATACCCCATTAGGCCATAGAATGCTGGATATGTGTGCCACATGCACATTCAAAGAATGACATCAGATGCATGTTTCTTGGTGAATTTCAATAGAGGCAAAGAATTAAAATTGTGTATATAGATTTATCCGGAGTGACCTATCACAGAATACCACTGATGGTTGAAGATTCTGCGGAAAATTATTAGTAGGTGATGTCAGGGCAATATTTCAATTGTGGTTGCGGTGTTGGCTATAGCTGCTTTGATAACAATGCAATAAGTGTTACACATACAGTACTATGACTCTACACCTAAATGTTGCATGCGTTGCAAGTACCGTAGCATGCAGTTCATTCGATGAACTTTGCGTATGTGGTTTAGTGTGTGTAGCAATTATGAGATAAGATCATGCGCTAGCCCTTAGGCGCCAGTGAATTCCGCGTCTCACGTGCGCCGTCAATTTGATAAATTACTCAATTAACTCAAAGGCATATATATACATCTCGTAACACTTTGCTCAAAGCACAAAATCTAGCTTTGCATGAACTTGATTCTCGCGCTATGTGTGAGATGCACCGAACGTTTCCATCATTTTCTTTAGTCGCCTACCATGGAACCTTACCCCCAACCCCTGCACACACACACTTATATGAAGGTGGGCGTTTCATTTGATAATCAAAGGCTGGAATTCTTGATTGGTTATCACCGGAGGGATAACGAGAAAAATAAAGTAGATAAGAAACATGTCCTCCCCCCCTTTTTTTTCTACTTCAAAGCTGCCTGTACTGTTTGTTAACTTGGAAAGGGACTCACCTCATTGTATTCTTGATAATATCTGAGGTATTACGTCCCCAAAATCATGATATATAGAAATGCCACAATGGAGGGCTCGGGAAATTTTGATCATCATTGCACAGCACACGGACCTCTGGCATTTCGCCTCCATCGAAATGCACCCGCCGTGCTCGGGATGGAACCTGCGTTCTTCAGGTCAGCAGCCGAGCACCGTGACTGTTACACTACTACGGCAGCTGCGTACCCAGAAAGCTCCACGCAGCCACGACTTTTTTTATAGCGAGCTCATGATTAACAAGTACATGCGCGGGGTATAAAAAAGGGGGGCAATCTTATGTCTGCATAAGTTTCCCTAATGAAAATAAAGGGAATTAAGGAGCTCAGTTAGGGACACCCGTCTCCAGTTGAACTTAGATTCAACCAGGGACGTAGCCAGGGGAGTGGCACATCGGGCCCATGCCCCCTGCCCCCTCTCGACATTTTTTTTGCCACGGAAAGCGAGCAAAAATCACCATTTCAAGGGGGTGCCCCTCCCGAAAATAAAAAGGTGCCCCCCCCCCCCCCCCCCAACCTGAAAAAAAATTTTGCCTGTGCACCTGAATCCTACAGTGATATTTTGTTAGCTGTTGCAATTTTATTTTTTATTCCAAGCTGCATCTTGAATAGTTCGCATTATGCCCGCTTATGTAAAACTGAAAATCTTCCAAGCCGCTCCAATGCACAATTCCTAAAAACAACGAGAACTTGTTTTGTGTCGTTATGCAAAAGAAGTCGTGCAAAGAAAAGGTATCCCCCAATTCAGAGC